ACACCTGAAGTAATTTCCTGGGCTTTCAATCTTGCAAGGTGCGAGAGTATAAAATGTTCGGTTACACCCGAACTTAGACGATCCTTACTTGCTTAAGTTAAAGATTATTTTAGTAAGGAAATTTTTACATTCCTATTTTTTTGTGGAAAGCAATTTCAAGGGTCTCCGAGAACTAGCAAAACTGATCGAGAATAACAATCATCACATCAAAAATGTGTTTTATGTTTTAATGTGAATATCTCGTTATGTGTACTGCTATTGTACCTCGTCATTTACATGTTATCCAGAAACGTTATGTACCCAAATATATTTTTCATATTGGCACCCCTATTATTTTGTAGACATCTGTATATAAATGGTCAGGATGATGAGTCGAGTTGAAATCTGAGTGACTGTATGTCTGTCCGTCCGTCCGTGGAAGCGGACTATTTGAGTAAAAATTGAGATATCTTAATGAAACTTTGTACATGTGTTCCTTGGCAAAAAAGTGAGGACGAGTTCGTAGATGGGCGTTATCGAACCACTGCCACGCCATTAATCAAAAACGTATAAATTGCCATATCTAAGCCGCATATTAAGATACAAAACTGTATTTTGGTACAACGAATCGCAATGATAAGGAGCACCTGTGGATTGAAATTTTTTTCAAAGTTTTGTTAAAAACTACTACAACTGCGATAAATCAATGACGAAATGCGTCAGAGACATTAAATTTTACATCTGAGATGACACAAAAGGGCTTTATATGAAAATGTGAACCCCAGAGCCTATATTTATACATTTATAAAATTGCTTGAAAATATGTTCTCAAGTATACCTGTGCAATTTCAAAAATTAATGCAAATCATTTCATTTCCATGGCCCCAAGAATTTTAGTATAATTTTCACTGACGGGTAACAATAAAACTAAGTAAGTCTATGGCGTTCAAAATAAGTTATTATGATACCAAATTTAATTGTAATCCATTCCCTATTTCCTCAAATAATGAAGTTGAACCTTTTCGCTACATTTCTTAATATAAAGTTTTGCCAACACCTGAAGGTATTTCCTCGACTTTGATTCTTGCAAGTTACATGAGGATACAATTTTCGTTTACACCTGAACTTAGCCCTTTTTTACTTGTGTTTGTGAGTGTTGCTTTTTTCTTAAATAAAACGTGGTTCATTTCCAAATGCATACGATCACTGGTAAATATTTTCTGAGTTGTTGTTTCACAAAATTTGCTAACAATTCTCTTTCTTTCTCTCTCTGTCTCTCTCTTCCTTCATAATCTGACGTTTGTTTATTTCCAAATTCCAAACATTAGAATTTACCTAATGTTCAGATTAGTAAAATGTAGTAACTGAAATAATATTCGAAAGTTAGGAGGAAATATATATGTATACTCGTATGTATATATCATTACAAAGAAATACTAAAGGTATCATGCTTCCGAGTGAATTTGAAGCAAATCCCCTTTCAATCCGACATTTGATGTTCTATATTTCACTTTCACTATGGAAATGAGTGTTCTTAAAAGCGAATTCACAAGAAAATATTCGTTTGTTATTCACTTAAAATCAATTATTGAATTTGGTGCAACATGTAAGTATTGGGTTGGCAACTATGTTTTTTAAAAAATCAAATACAATTTTTTCATGGAACTAAATACCTTTATTCTGTAACGTATTGCCCATTTTGATCAATGACGTTATGCCATCTTTCAGGCAGCATTATAATCCCACGTTCATAAAACAAAAAGTAATCCGATGGTGCAAGGACAGGACTATATGGTGGATGTGTCAAAACATCCCAACCAAGCTCCAATAATTTTTGCCGTTGAGCTGGTTCACCTGGCCTGCTCCACGATCTTTTCCGTTTAATATTGTTGTGAACAACCCATTTTTCATCGCCAGTTATCATTCGTATTAAAAATGGATAAGTTTCATTACGTTTCTTTAGCAAATCGCAGCTGTTAATGCGTTGCGTTAAATGCGTTTCTTTCAGTTCGTGAGGGACCCATGTATCGAGTTTTTGAATATAGCCAAGTTGTTTTAAGTGATTTTCAATGCATGTATGTGATACCTGAAGCTTCTCTGCAATCTCACGTGTTGTACTGTGACGATCCGAATCGATTATTGCTTTGATTAGGTCGTCATCAACTTCAACTGGACGACCAGAGCGTTTTTCATCATTGAGTGAAAAATCACCAGAACGAAATTTGGCAAACCAATTTTGACACTACCGTTCTTTTATGGCTTCGTCGCCATAAACAGCACATAACTTTTTGTGAGCTTGCGATGCGTTTTTCCCTTTGCGAAAATAAAAAAGGAAAATATGACGAAAATGTTCCTTTTGATGTTCCATTTTTCAACAAACGCCGAACGAAAACTACGCAACCGATCAAAAAACTTTTTTTACTGATTGACAGCTGAATTGCCAACTATCAAATAACAAAATGTGTTTTACATTTGGACTACGCCAGCAAACCTAAAAATTCAACTGAAGCCATCTATGAGTGAAATAAGTGCAATTACTTAGTTGCCAACCCAATAAATTAAAGTGGTAAAATTATATAGAAAAAAAATTTTAAATTTATTTAAATTTTGAAAATAATAGTTGTTAATTATTAAAGAGGGAAACCTAAAAACGCAGAGCAATATGCAATCAATATTCGATTCATGGTGGCTGTAGGCATATCGCCCGAGGCTTTGTGAATAGTGACAAAAATTAAGTCGATGCGCTTTGGAAGGAATCGTTTACAAGCTTAATATAAAGGGTGTTTTTTTATACATGTGAATTTCAAGAAGAAAAAAACGCTAAAATATTTTAATTGTATGGCCGAATTCAGCTTCGTTATAAAGATAAGGGTCTACCATATTGTTTTAAAAATGATTTTGGAAAAGCTGGGAGGCCCAATTTTTGCAGCAAGTCGAATTATGGTCGTTCGGTTCTGTTCAATTCTTGCAGGTGTTTGATTTGGTAAGCCCGCAAACCAAGATCCTTCCGCAAAATCTTCCTTAAAGTGTATGGGCACAGCTCCAATTGTTTCGAGCGTTGGCGGATGATTTCATTCGGGCCTTCTTCGATACTCTGCTCCACAGTAGCAATAGCGTCTTCGGTAGGCAATATGCGGCGTCTCTAAGGATGCGTATTCTCATCTGGAGTAAACGTGGTGCGAAACCGATCTATGGTTGCTCGAATTATCCACTCTGCTGGTCGATTATGTCGACCGAAGTTTGGACGCAGGGCCCAATGCCTCACGCTAACCGAACCATTATTTTTGTAATAAATTTAAACGGTTTGTAGTCGTTGTTCCGGCGTTAGTCTTTTAATTATAAAATGGCAAACCAAAAAGTATAAACCTAGTAACAGCTGTAAAAGATCAATATCTCAAAAAACACCCGTTCATGGCCTACCAAAAAAATATATTTCAGGTTGGAAACGGTGAAAACAAGTAATTTTGATATTCTAAAGAATTTTTCTTAAGCTAATCAGGGTTGGACGGATAGGATAGCATTTCTGAAGCTAGAGAAATTGAAATTACAATCGTTGCAAATATACTCATTTTTATACTCTCGCAACCTGTTGCTACAGAGTATAATAGTTTTGTTCACCTAAAGAATGTTTGTATCACCTAAAACTAATCGAGTTATACAAATGATCAGGATGAAGAGACGAGTTGAAATCCGGGTGACTGTCTGTCCGTCCGTCCGTGCAAGCTCTAACTTGAGTAAAAATTGAGATATCTTTATGAAACTTGGTAGACATGTTTCTTGGTACCGGAAGACGGTTGGTATTGCAGATAAGCGTAGTCGGACCACTGCCACGCTCACAAAACGCCATTAATCAAAAACAAATAAATTGCCATAACTAAGCTCCGCAATAAGATACAAGACTGTTATTTGGTACACACGATCACATTAGGGAGGGGCATCTGCAGTTAAATTTTTTTTTTAAGTGGGCGTTGTCCCGCCCCTAATAGGTTTAATGTGCATATCTCCTAAACATCTAAAGCTATAATAACAAAATTCACTGGAAGCAGAACCTCTACCTACAGTGTGAAAATAGTTGAAATCGGGTGGCAACTCCGCCCACTCCCCATATAACGGTACTGTTAAAAACTACTAAAAGCGCGATAAATCAAGCACGAAACACGCCAGAGACATTAAATTTTATCTCTGGCATGGTACGAGATAACTTTATAGGAACCGCGTTCAAAATTAGACAGTGGGCGTGACACCGCCCACTTATAGGTGAAAACCCATATATTGGGATCTGCTTAACCGATTTCAACCAAATTCGGTGTATAACGTTCTTTTTATATTTCTATGTCATAGTGTCAAAATGGGCGAAATCGGACTACAACCACGCCTATTTCCCATATAACACCATTTTCAATTCCATCTGATTCTTTCACTTTCCACTATGCATATCAAGCAACAATGATTATATCGGGGTAAAACTTTGCGTGAATAATACGTTTAAAGTATGCCACCTTGTGACCAAAAATTGTCTAAATCGAACCAAAACTGTTCAAGCCCCTAAGTACTAAATATGTGGACCCCAGTGTCTATAGTTGACCTTCTACCGAAAATATCAGTCAATCCACAAAGAAATCTCAAACGAGTATACCATTTGACTTTGCGAGAGTATAAAATGTTCGGTTACATCCGAACTTAACCCTTCCTTCCTTGTTTTTTATTATATTTATGTATTTTATTTTTTGAATATTATTAATAAACAAATTTCTCGTTCTTCACTCGTTTTTGTATTCATTTCAATTTCCACTTTCACTCGGATTCCAGAACCTACCTGAATGTATTACAAAGAAAAAATTTGTCACATTAATATATATAAATTTTTTTATTTTTCTGTAAAATTTTTTAGAGACATTAATTGGTTGTGTTATCCATGTCATATTTTTTATACCATAAATATTGTAATTGAAATGTATTAAATTACATATATAACGTAGTGTGCTTATACAATATCGCGTAATACATTTTCATTATTATAGTGAAACGGAGCGGTATAAAAAGATAAAATGGCAAGATGTTCGCGTTGGTGACCTAGTTCATTTATCAAATAATGAAACGGTACCAGCAGACATATTACTTTTAAGAACTAGCGACTTGCATGGCGCCTGTTATATCGACACTTGCGATTTAGATGGGGAAACAAATCTTAAACGAAGAGAAGTAAATATATTTTTTAAGCTATTCTTTTTGCATATCAACTTACTAGATAATTTCTTTATTAGGTTGTTCGCGGTTTCACCGATAAACAGAATATTTTCACCCCTAGTAAATTCGTGAGCCGTATCGAAGCTGACGCACCCACCACAAAGCTTTACAGATTCCATGGAGCCTTAATAAATCCGACAGGGGAGCGTATTCCGATTGCAACTGAAAACTTGCTTCTGAGGGAGAGTCGCTTGAAGGTGATTCTTTATATTTTCTTCTTGATATTACTATGTGAATACCTTTAAATTGTTACATTTCAGAACACTGATTTCATTGAAGGGGTCGTGGTATATACAGGCCACGAAACAAAATCAATGCTTAACAACAGTGGGCCTCGCTATAAGCGTTCGCAAGTCGAGCAGCAGATGAATATTGATGTGATATGGTAAATTTAACTATTAATTATGATCGATGCCTCTGAGGATATGGGTTTTTTGGTTTTAGAAAACGAGATTGAAAAGGACGATAGTACTATAGTATAGTTTCGAGAGTAAAAGAAATAATAAATAATGATGAAAATCAATTCCTATTTGTTTCATATGCATCACAATTGGCATTAATATATTTTTAAATGACCAACTAAAATTGAATATTTTTGGATATGACTTTACTATTTAATTTAAAGAGTCTTCAAAGTTTCTTCTTTTCATTTCTTGACAAACATAAGTTGAAAGTAGCATTATTCTATCTTATTGCACATCTAAACAAATCGAACAGTTTATAATCTTGCATTTAGGGGGAAATAGTTTAAGGTGTAGACAAAATTTTGAATTAAACAAGTAAGGAAGGGCTAAGTTCGTGTGTAACTGAACATTTTATACTCTCGCAATTTTTAAACCTCAAAAGGTTAGGGTTATGAAGTTTAGACCAATTCCATTCATATTCAGCGCTATCCACTTAATTTCATTTAAATATCGCATATATATACTGGCATAAACGGTTGAAAGTCAGGTGGAAAGTCCGAAATCACTTTATCGGGTAAATTGGGGCTAGGGGACAACTTTCGTTGTAGATTTACGTGAGTACCTGCCGGCGACGGCCTTACCTCACGGTGTTCAAAAACACAACGTATCAATACAATGCGTTGATCAGCGCCCCAAACAATACGAGCTTTTTGCAAGTATTTATTTGGATACCAGTGGCAGTGTGTCTGGGTCCACACTACCATCTTGGTGTGATTCGAGGCCGACCTAAAACCTCTTCCGTTTTCGGGTACGGCACCCAGTTACTTGTGCAACTTCTTTTTTCGAACTGAAAATTCAGTTCTTCCAGCATTTAGGTTTAAACCACGATACTCCCCAAAGGGCCGAACCCAATGAGCAGATTGAACAGAAGTCCAAGGGCTTTCTGCTCCCCGTGGTACCGGAAAGTCTCCGGTCAGACTGCGTAGCCTAAACTACTGCCAGTTGAGCTCCCCATTACTCATATGACTGGTGACATTTGTCGCTTGAACTTCAAAATGTCTTTTTATTCGCTTTTTTCATTTAAAGTGTTTCTAATATCAGTTCAAGCTGAGTATTATAGCACTATCACTCCACCTACTATGCTGATATTACTGAGCAAGGTATATAATAACAGTCATAGTGCATATTGGCTTTTAGTCGCCTTTTACGACAGGCATGCCTTGCCGCGGGCATATTCTATCCCCTGCCCGCAGGGGTGGGGGTAGGGGACAGTCTGAATTTATTGTATTACGCGTGTCCTTAAACATGTATACTCGAGAAAATATAAGTAATTTTAGGAAAATTGATCACACATCGGCCGATATACTCGATATAATGTCTGCTAAAATAATGAAAATCATTATATAAGTACATGTATGGGACTTAGGGTAATATGTGAACCGATTTTCACATTTTCTGCATTAAACTTTGCATATATCCGATATTATAATGATATTAGGTATGTGGGTGGCTAGAAGTAGTATTGACCTGTTTTTTTTTAAATCAATTTTTGGCTTGACGACATACAAGGTGCGTTCCAAAGTAAACAGTAAAAAAGTAACAAAGTAAACTCTAGTGACGCCATCTATATGTCGACTAGTGCGTTAGAATCTGCTATCCTTTATCGACTTCCAGTAAAAATTTCATGACATTTCAACTATTGGAAGTGGAGTTATTGCGTTTTAAGTGTCAGTATGTTTTTGTCATCGGTGCGAAAATGAGCTTCGAACAAAGAGCAGAACATTAAATTTTGTTTTAAAATTGGTAAAACTTTTACCGAAACGTTTCAATTAATGAAACAGTGTATGGCGATGATTGCCTATCCCGTAGCAGAGTGCACGAGTGCTTTCAACGTTTTCAAAGTGGTCGTGAGGACATGAATAAAGATGAACATGTGGGCCAACAAAAATCCGTGATCACCGAAAATTCAATCGAAACTGTGCTTGAATTAATGAAAAATCAGCCGAAATCATCATTGAAATTCATGGAAATTGAATTGAACATCTCCAAAACATCGATTTATCGCATTTTGACCGATCATTTGGGCTTACAAAAAGTGTGTGCACGGTTTGTTCCGCACAAATTGACTGACGACCAAAAATTGCTCAGAATTAAACATTCGAAAAGGACATCATTAAAGAGGCAAAAAAAGACCCGAACTTCCTTTACAAGATTGTGACTGGTGACGAAACGTGGTGTTTTCAATATGATCCCGAAACGAAACGCCAGAGTGCTGAATGGAAGGCGCCGGACGAGCCGAAACCCAAAAAATCGCGACTGGAGAAGTCAAAAGTGAAGACAATGCTGATTTTTTTTTATGATTCCAAGGGTATTGTCCACAAAGAATTTGTTCCACCCGGCCAAAACGTTAATGCGGTATTCTACCTTGGAGTTTTGAAGCGTTTGGTGCGCCGTATTCGACGTGTTCGGCCCGAATATCGCGAAGATGGAAGTTGGCGTTTGCTGCCCGATAATGCGCCGTCTCATCGATCGACGCTTGTGGCCGATTATTTGACCAAAAATCACATTTTAACAATCAACCACTCCCCGTATTCACCTGATATGTCACCGTGCGACTTCTACCTTTTCGGAAAAATGAATTTGCCGATGAAAGGAAAGCGTTATGCAGACGTGGAGGCCATTTAAAAGGCTTGCACCGGCATACTGGCGGAGGGATGGTAACAGCGCGCGAAAAGTCGACTTTCGATTTTAGAGTCGACTTTCGATTTTAGAGTCGACTTGGAATTTTATGACTCTTAAAGTCGATTAATCATTGCTAAAAGTCGACTCTCAAGTCGACTTTTTTAAAAATTTAACAATTATATATCCGTCAGTTATGTTATACTATGCTTATTTAAAACGGTTACCAAGGATACCAGCGATGATGTTTATTTTTGTCCAATCAGAAAGAGGTTAGTTTAACGATAAGGTATAAAAAAAATATAAAAGAGTCGGTACATGAAAACGATGCACACTGTACTACCATCGAATGTTATAACTGTTGACAGAAAAGTCGAAGTCATCGAGGGAGAATCGATTTTAATCGACTTGGAACATTTAAACTCGATTATTTTAAGTTAAAGATCGATTCTTGACCAAAGTCAGAGTCGACTTTCCTATCCCTATACTCGCGGCCATACCGGGCAACGAGCTAAAACACTCGTTCGACATGCTTTTGGACCGTGCAAAAAGCTGAATTAAAGCAGAAATAGTCTATTTTGAACAAAATTAATTGATTTTGCCGATAAAACCATTTGTTCTGTCATTTTTTTAAAAGTCCTATTTACTTTGGAACGCATCTTGTATTACCATGAAATTCCGCTGTTTCATTATACCTTATATATTGACTATATCTCGGTCATATATTATATTATAAATTCAAGCGGAAGTTTGAAATAAGTGTATTAGATATGTATATCTGAGGTTGGGGTAGTATTGTCCGGATTTCATTTATTTTAAACACAAAGACACACTGTTATACACGGTTCAAAGTCAACCGCAAGTTCGAAAATCTTTACGTTATTTCGATGCACAGGTGTATGGGAGCTAGAGGAAGTATTGACCGGGTTTTTCCTGTTTTTGACACAAGGGCACACTTGTTTTGACTGTGAGTTGGCATACCTTAGGCATACCATAATTACCATACTAATTGCATATGCCAAATTATTTCAATAACTTAATTGGTAATATATATACTTATATGTACGAAGTAGGCGAGGTTATTGTCTGCTTCCCTCATTTTCGAAATATAACATCAGAATATCGAAACATTGTAATGCGTTAAATTTGATTATAATCGGTCGAGTAGTTCCTGCGATATAGGATTGCACCTAGAGGTGAGCGGTACCCATTTTCTAATTTCGGGCATGGTTCTCATCTGATTTCATCTTTTTTCACGATGTGTGAAGAAGCGCAAAAAGGACAACTTCCGTGTAGCTATAGTGGTTTATGAGATATGCACATTAAAGGGTGTGGCCTCGCCCACTTTTAACATTTTTTAAATGACAAATGCCGCTCTCTACACTGATCCCCTGTACCAAATGACAGTTTTGTATCTTAATCTGGAGCTTAGTTATTGCACGTTATATCATTTCGATGAACGGCTTTTTTTGGGGGTGGAAATTATCCGATTTAGTTCATCTGCGATACCAATCTTCATATACTACCAGCGAATATGTGTACCAAGTTTCATCAAAATATATGAACTTTTACTGAACCAGATTTCAACTCGTTTCGTCATCTTGCTTTATATACCTACATATATAGAACTCGATATCTATCTCGATTAATTTTAGGTGATACAAACAACCGTTAGGAATAAAACTACTATATTCTGTAACAACATATTGCGAGAGTATAAAAATATTTAATATTGTAAAAAACCCATTAATCAATGATTTTACCACAAGAAGCGTGTTCATAAAAATTAGTTCCTATAACTTAAGCATATTAGTGTACTGCATATGTTTCCTAACACATATCTAGATATTAAATTTCAGCGCTCTTCAACAAATTCATATTTGAAACTTGAAACGTGACCAATGACTTGATAACTTACTCACTAACTCAATAAGAAAATATTTTAGGTAAGACATAATAAACACACTATTCGAAAAAGTAACTTTACTAAATTTGACAATTTTAGAAAAATTATGTTAAGGTTAACATTTTTAAATCTCAAGCAACTTCTTTTTCTTGACATATGTACAATAAAAGTAATCTAAAAACAAAAAATGTCGTTTTTATATTTTACAGCACGCCCTGCAGAAAACAGATCACACATATGTTCATGCATTGAAAAGTAACATCCATAACACCTTTTTTCTTCTCTATATTTTTCATGAATGGTATTGACGACCTTCCGTTTGTACTATTCGATTTGGTTTTTAGTTGTTTTCTGGTTTTGCACTTATATTTTTTACTTCCTAGAATAAGGTTTAGATGAAATTTAGTAAACTTTGCTACCAAGGCTCAAACTATAATAATAATTTTGACAGATAGATTAAAAATCAAAGATTCAGTTTATATTGGAGGTTCCGAATTTTTGCATTAGTGCTAAACATGAATTTATAATATTTAATATTATTATATTTTAAATATAAATTTTTTCTATTTCTATTAGGTGTGTGATAATTTTACTGATATTATGTATTGTGGGCGCAGTTGGCTGCAAAATGTGGTTAAGCTCTTTTGAGCAATTTCCTGTACCATATCTACCTTTTGATGTTCATCCAAACTACGAAGGTCTGTTGACTTTTTGGACATACATTATAATATTGCAGGTGATGATTCCATTGTCTTTGTACGTTACCATTGAATTATGCAAAATTCTGCAAGTTTACCATATTCACAACAATATTGACTTGTATGACGAGGATACAAATAAAAAAACAGAATGCCGTGCGATGAACATTACTGAAGAGTTAGGACAAATACAGCATATATTTTCAGATAAGACAGGAACACTGACAGAAAATAAAATGCTATTTCGACGATGTGTTGTCAATGGCATAGACTACGCTCATCCGCCTTCAGAGCTGGAACGATTGCATTCAAAGCCTGGAACACCAGCTCCACCGCTCATAACAAATTCCACATTATTAAATGATATGCTAGAATTAATAAATTCTGGTCAGTATTTGTCATCAAATGCCCAACGGCTACAGGAGTTTCTTTTGGTATTGGCAATTTGCAATACGGTGATAGTAAGTGCCACACCACATCATGATTTGATGAATGCTAGTGGTATAATTGAGGTTCAAGGAGCAGCCAGCAGTGATTCAGTAGTACTAAAAAGTAAGTTGTCAATGATGTTTCTCAATTCTTCCATATACATATAAAATTTAATAATTGTAGATGTAAAAGACAACCATGTTCCTTTACAACATATAACACAAACAGATTCATCTTCTTCATCGTTAACTATAGCTAATAATAATTTAGCATCTGCAATACCAATTGATCGTTATACTCGCTTAGCTGAATCACGTTCCGTAACACCATCACCACCACCAAACCTTGCCTATGTTTTACCAACACAGACACATATACCATCGTTATCCCCAATAAGCAGCTCAGCAGAGACTACGCCTACTTCTGAATCACCTCATATGAAAATAAAGTCATTTTCAAATAGCATATCACCGACAGGACGAGCGAAAGCAGCGATAAATTCCAAAATAAGTAGCCTTACTTCATTCCTGAATGTAAGGGTTCAAACAAAAAAATTTAAGAACAAGTTAAAGTAAGTTTTAAAAAAGCTATGTCGGCTATATTTATATACATATTAAAAATATTTTCTTACAGTCAAACAAAAATTCAACAATCATTTAAAACGGCTAACGGCAGACCATTGTATGAAGCCGAGAGTCCAGATGAGCTTGCGCTTGTAAATGCTGCTTACAGTTATGACTGCTGTTTAGTCAATCGAAGTCCAAATCATATACTAGTTAGCATTCCTAATTCTGGGATGGTGGAGTATGAAGTTTTAAAGGTTTTGCCATTTGATTCGAGCCGCAAGTGCATGTCAATTGTTGTGCGCCGTACAGGAACACAAGAAATAGTGCTTTACACAAAGGGCGCTGACAGCTCTATTATGCCCGTATTAGTATCAAGCGCTTCAAATACGCCAGAAGGTATTTGATTTTTCAATAGCCTAAAAAAAAATAGAATAATTTTTACCAAACGTTTTGTGATAGGTTTGATACGAGAAAAAACTCAACAGCAGTTGGACCGTTATGCTCGTGACGGTTTGCGTATATTAGTTATGGCAAAACGAATATTGAATCCCGTCGAATATACAGAATGGTGGGCACACCACGAAGAAATTGAAATGTCGTTGGAGAATAGAGAACGACGCATTCGTGATTCATTTGCGAAGCTGGAATGTAATTTGACATTACTAGGTGCTACAGGAATTGAGGATAGACTTCAAGATGGCGTTCCGGAAACGTTAACTGCTCTGATTTCGGCTGGTATATCGGTGTGGGTGTTAACTGGCGATAAGCCAGAAACTGCAATAAATGTTGCTTATTCTGCCAAACTTTTTACTCAACAGATGGAGTTATTACGGTATGATCAACTTCTTATTATTATATAATATTTATAATATAAACTAGTCTAATGTATTTTCCTGTATTGTTAACATATACAGTCCATGACAACAAGAAAGAATATTAAATTAAAACCAAAAATAATTTAAAAAAAAGTAAATACAAAAGCAGGCACTTAAATTCTTGATAAAATTAGTTTAGTATTATTTAAGTGAATATGTACAAAAACAATAATTTCTACTATTTTTATAAAATTTAATTAATATATACTAAAATGGATCGTGGAAAAAGAAGAACTTGTATTGCCGTTAATTTAAAGTTGTGATTAATATTTTATTGAGAGAATATGAAAATGAGCGATATTGCAAAAAAGAAGTCAAAAAGTCTCAGGAACTCATTAGTAAATCCCGAGAACTATGGGAAAGCGCCCACTCTTTACACTCAAGGCGAAATAAGCTATTGGGCGTGTTGCGTTAAATTCAATTCTTAAAGCTTGTAAAAACGCCGAAAACGTGGCGTAAAAATATTTGTGGAAAGAGTTATACAAAATTTTGAAACAATCACAAATTGTAAAGAAAATCGTACTTACAGCCAACCATTGTGCAGACAAGATGGAGAGCTACGCCTGAGGTCCTTAAAAGCTATGGAGGCTCCTTCCACTATGAAATATGAACTTTTCATATATCTTGTGTTCTTTGTTTTTACTAAAAATTAACATTTTGGGTCTCTTTTTGTCTCACCGCTTGAAGTATTTTTAATTTGTACTCAAATCATGTTATAAATAATTCACGTAGCCTCGTACATACATATGCATAAAAGGTAAGAAAATTAAGAATAAATAAAATATTTATATTTTTGTCGTGGACTAGTATATGCTAAAATAAATTGAAGGCATTTAAATTAAACGTTTTTTATTGGTTATGAGGGAAAATTATTTCATAGTCTTTCTTTAAGTTTAATCCTAATTTATTATTATTTATAGTCTAACGGCTCGTTCGCGTGATGCTGCGGAGAGTGCAATTAATTTCTACCTAGCTGATTTTGACAACAGCAAATCATTATATGATACACATACTCGACTAAAAACACGTGCTTTGGTTGTCGACGGCAAAACATTGACTTTTATCCTGGATTTACGGTAAGTATTTGGGTGTATAACATAATGCCGACAATCAAAATCTCTAAATTTAAAATTCTGTCAATCAAAGTACCGACAATTCAAAACACAGACAAAAAAATTAAAAATAACGGGGTGTTCACGAGTTTTCGGCCGCGCTTAAAAATTATAACCCTGGTCGATCTAACACCGGGCGGTTTAGGGGTATGTCGAGTCGAACTACTTTCGGCATTATTTTTGTTAACTATTTTTAACTTTATTTTACCTTTTGGCCCATCTACAAGTATGACTTGATTTTGCAAATATTTTTCAAAAATATTTTATCGTGACTGTATTTTGATATGTCGGCATTTTAAGTGTTTCCCTTAATAGGTATTTATATAAACCGATACGTAATTCTGCGAGAACGTTGTTATAAATTCTCATTTCTGTTAAATAGTAGCGAATATCACAGAAAATGGTTAATTCCCTGCTCAGAGTTTATTAGCTTTGTTAACCGTCCAATTGAGCATCATACAAAATTTAATTTGCAACTTCTCGTTCATTTAAGTTCTTTGTACAATATCATATTAGGTGTAATAAAAAGAAATCCATTATTTTTGAATGAATGCTTTAATTATTACTTTTCGTATCCAGCCCCATGCAAATGGTTCCAAACTGTTTTTGTGCAATGTTTAGGACCTGGATTTCCATTATTTAATCGATTTTTTCAAATCAACCAATCACAAAACTGTCAGAAAATCTTTTTAAGTACGAAATGTCATTTTTCTTACTTATATAACGATTTCAGATAAATAACGCTATCTATTGGAAAAATAATGGATTTTTACTTTTTACAACACCTAATATTTCGTTTGCTTTGGGGTTGGGGTTGAAAATTGAGTTTTAATATAGATTTAATTTCTTAGCTTAAAGTAAACTTAATAAATTGTGTATACATCAATTTCCATCCTATGGTTTTTAGAAGAAAACGCTTATTTTTTTCGTATGAAATTTCATAAATGAGCTAAAATAAGCAAACACAATTCAGAGGCTTATTTTTTCTAAAGCCATGTTATTGGATTAACAAGAATTTGCGATAATGCTTCATTGGTGATGTTGTGGTGATGCTGGGACCAGATGTTGTCAAGATCAACTTCTTCCAATTGCGGCCATAAAAAGTTGGTTATCATCGATCTATACCGCTCTCCATTTAACGTTTAATCAGCTTCATTTGGAAAGAAGTACGGACCGATGATTACACCAGTACAAAAACCACACCATAATGTCAATTTAGGTGAATGTAATGTTTGTTCATGAATAATATGTGGATATGAATCGACAGTTTTGTTTATTTACCGCACCATTCAGATGAAAGTGAGCCGCAGTAGCAGACGAAAAGTTGCAATTGGAGAACGATTATTTTGATAATAAAATTGAATAAATTGTAAACGTTGTTCTTGCGTATATCTTTCTATGATGAAATTGTAAACATTACTAAATACAATGAAAACATTACAAATAGTGACATATTAAAAATGTCCGAAACGACACTTAGAAATCATATCATCCCTATTGTAAAACTCAATACAATATATAACTATATGCAAATAGATAAGTTTTAAATGTACAAACAATCATTAGGTGAACAAAATTATTATATAAACTTAAACAAAGTATGAATTTTTCTGGAAGAGGCAATTTGCTGAAAAAATGCTTTAATATGCTTTGCATAAATAAAAAATTATTATGATTAAGCACAGGTTTTATTTACGTATAGTATGACTCGATGCCAAACCTTACCAAATGCTTAAATAAAATCCAGACAAATCGTAGCCGTTGCATTATTCGCCATATGCTCCAAACATATGGAGCGCAAACGAGTTTATTTATTTATTTTCAATATGATCCGATGTTTATATTAGCAAAAAAAATTTGCAAATTAATAAAAACATGTACTTTACACTGAAAATTATCTTGCAGATCGAAACTCATAAGACCTTTCCTGAAATTGGCTAAAAGCTGTGCTTCTGTGTTGTGTTGCCGTTCGACACCTCTTCAGAAAGCATATCTGGTTAAAGTGGTAAAAGATGAGTTGCGTCTATGTACTTTGGCAATTGGTGATGGTGCGAATGATGTTTCAATGATACAGGTATTTAAAGCGAACTTCAGTTATATATACGGAACCATTTATTGTTCATATGTAAAGATGGCAGATGTTGGCGTTGGTATTTCCGGTCAAGAGGGTATGCAAGCTGTTATGGCCGCTGATTTTACGTTATCACGGTTTCGCTACTTGGAACCTTTATTGTTAGCTCATGGATACTGGTGTTACGATCGTTTGTCGCGCATGATACTTTATTTCTTCTACAAAAATGCTGTAAATATTTTATAAAAAATATTTAAATTTTTTTATATTTACCCTGAGTTTTCATTTTTGAAGGCCTTCGTGTTCTTAATATTTTGGTACCAACTATACTGTGGCTTCTCGGGCTCTGTTATGATGGATCAAATGTATCTGATGTTGTATAATTTAATATTTACGTCTCTGCCGCCGCTTGCCATAGGTGTCTACGACAAACGCGTGCCTGAGGATTTTTTACTACGAAATTGTTTTTTATACAAACATGTTAGTACACAAGCACAAAATTGTAAACAATCTATGTTATTGTTTAATTTTTCTGTAGGGTCGTTTGGGTCTTGCCTACAAACCGCATGATTTCTGGATAGTACTATCAGATTCGTTATATCAAAGTTTAGTGGTATTTTTCATTGCCTTATGCGCCTACGCGGAAAGTGATGTTGGCATATGGGAGTTCGGAGCAACCATAACAGCTTCCTGTTTGTATACGAATTTAGTCCATGGTGCACTCGAAATTAGATCATGGGTATTTTAGCAATGCATTAGCATTGTAAATGTAATAAATTTGTTTAAATAGATTGAATTTTTTTTTTTGTTTTTTGTAGACTGTACTGCATCTGCTCTCTATTACCATAAGTCTTGGTTCCTTCTATGCTTTTTCTGTTATTTATAATGCAACTTGTGTAAATTGTTTTGGACTACCTTCTACTTATTGGGTAATATTTCGCTGTTTAGGCTCTTTACTTCATTGGCTTGTGATACTTATATCGACATTGGTGGCTGTTTTGCCTAGGTAAGCTATTCACATTGTATCGTCACAATTAATCAAATTGCACATCTGATATATATTTGTTAATAAATAATGATACATAATTTTTATTGCAGGCTGCTATTTACAACAATTAAAAACTCATTATTTCCTGACGACAGTGCAACAGTTTTGCTGCAGAAAAAAAGAGATCGGAGTAGAGGTGAGGGTTTGTTAGTTGCTTGGTCAAGGTCAACATCAGCTTCATCAATTTATAGGTAAAGAACACACAACACATAATGTAACCGACAATTATCTGCTATGCGTTTTTCCGCTTCCATAGTAAAATATGTTTCGCCAGTAGTACCTTACAAGGATTTTTTATACATATTTCTTTACTAAATGAGTGTCTAATTTGGTTTCTTTCTTAAAACAGTATAAAAATAAAGATGCTTCATCTCAGTTAAGGTTGTTTATATTTTGAAATAAATTTGATTATTTAAAAACTTCTTAAAATTTAACCCAACCTTACCATTCTTCTTGGACGTGCGACTTGATGTTGTCAAAAGTTAGATAATCTCACAACTTTTAAGCCACTTTCGAGCCGCTGATATACTGGAAGACGATCGCATTAGAAAAAAAAACTTGTCTATAAGTTTAGATTTTATATACACAGGACTGTAAACCCAAAAGTCACCATGTGAGTTCGATTGTCGCGCCCTGAACTATAACATGGATCAAAAGTTATATATATATATATATATGTATATATATGATACAAATATTCTCTTACATTGTACACATTAAAAGCTTCGGTTACTAACGCCTAGCGAATACTGGGAATTAAAAAAAGAATGTTTTATAAAAACATTTAAAATAATATAGTGTGTTTTTTTTGAATGCAACAAGCTAAATCATTTTCTCCATCCACTCTTTACTTTGAAGCACTGTAACCATGGGTCATGGATTTATTTGATAACTTAAAACTAGAAAGTTCTATTCATAAAAATATAGAATTTAAGTTAATATAATTTTTGCAGAATAGTAATATTGGTTGCAAATGTTGTGTGTTTTTTTTTTTTATTTACAACATTTATTTGATTTATAATTCGTTCAACACTTCATTTTAATCTTTCTTATTTACAAATTTTCATTAGTTTAGGTTTTATTTTAATATAATATATTCTTATTTAGATATTGTGTAAGTTCATCATTTCTAATTGGTGTTGCTTAAGAAAACGATTAGGATATTACAATGAAAGTTTTTTTACCACACTAATAAATAACCATATATTGTTAATTATTTTCGAATGGGATACTTGACAAAAACTAATTTTCGTTTAAATTTTATCTGTTTGTTTAATGGAACCAATTTGAACCATATATTTTTTGCAAGTATGCAAGTTACAATCCGTTTGCAGATTTATTTAATGTGAGCTAAGCACCTATGGTTGCGTGCATTATATTTTTAAACACAGATATGTACAGATGTTATCAAAATAATAGGAGTGCTATTGCATATCTATTCTATTCCCTGTTTTAATTACATATTTACTTTCTCTTATTTCTTGTGTTCTTATCTTGAAAAATCAGTCGTTCATTGTCACTTAGAAGAGGAAAAATAACCTTGAACTCTACGTAAAAGGTAGTACAAAATATTTTCGGAAGCGTCGAAATACGCCGACGACCACGAGCGACATCAAAAAAACTTTCTTCTTTCATAACTAGATACACAAGGTAACATCCTTTTTCAAGCTTGAAAAAATAAAGTATGAGCTAAGCTTGAATCTAAGTATCCAAACTATCAACCGACGATTACCGCACACAGCCCGAGAAAATTCCTTTTCATACAATACATTGACTAGTAACCAGAAAAATGGCACAGCATCTTGTTGTTAGATGAATCTAAAAATACTCTGTTTGTTGAAAAAGATTTTTGTCAGTATGTGAAAGCCCGCAAAAAACCGAATTTAATTTAAAACATTGCATAAAAACTGTTAAATATGGTAGGCCCAATACACTGAATCAAGGGTAAATTACGCACGAAACCATGCTGCCCTATGCTAGTGATGAAATGCCATTGGCTTGGGTCTTCCAGGAAGATAATTATCCAAAGCATACAAGCAAAAATGTCCTGAAACTATTATATTAAAAATATCGTTTTACAAACTTTGTCAATTGCTAAGTTTTTGATGAATATATAGGGCACTCCTATTGTTTTAAGAAAGCGATTTCTTATAATTTCATTGTCACTTTGTGAATTTATATTACATGCTGTTTTTTGTTTATTTTTTTTCATTAATAATAAGATAAAAAAATAATTTCGAAATAATTACGTTACATTTACATTTTTTGAATTTATTATCATGGATAATGATTAATCCACTCCTATTATTTTGATAACAGCAGAAAATGTATACACCAGCGTTAATTAACTATTATTTACAGAATCGCCGATTATGGGTCTAAGAATCAAATTATAACGACTATTTCTTGATAAACGCTACCGAAGAGGATATTTTATACAACAAAGGTTATCATCAGGATATTTAGTGCTGATCAATATTTGGAAAACAATCATATGTAAAAAGAGTTATTGAAATACATACATATATAATGGTGCGAAAGTGTAGTATTAATATATACATGTGTGTGACTGAGTTAGTTAATACGTAAGGTCAATAGTATGTTCTAGGTTCGTTTCTGTTAAAGCTCTATTATAATAATAGCCTAAGGCTATGTAAACATTTTTAATCCGTACTAAAAGTTATTTTTAATTTTTATTGTATTATAGGCTAAATTATTCAAATACTTATATATTTTAATATTAAATTCATTTGTTTTAGGTGAATATCTTAAGGGTGGTTTTCAGATCACAGTCTATTATAATAATGTAATATAAACTAAATTTATTCTGTTCCATCAGTAATTTATTTTATTATGCAATATTATCAAGGCTCTGTAGAGTATTTTCCGACTAAGTCACCATATAAAGATAATCCATTATCATACATTTTTTTTTTAAATATTATCATCAGTTTATTGTTTTTGTTATCAACAACATTTATATTAACATTTCCAAAACTAAGCAGGTTAGTAAAATTATACCTGTGAGAAAATCCTCAAATTTGATGATTTTCTAAATTTGTATGTAATCAAGTTTAATTGTTCATCATTACGAAATTTGAATATATTTGTTTTTGCAGCTTATAATCTTGTTTTATTAAAAATATTACACTTTTCAATTTTCAATAAAAATTAAAATCTTTATTCCCCTAATTTTGGCGATTTTTTTAGTTCATTTTTTTTTTTCTAAGAATTTCAAACACTAAACAATTAACTAATATAATTCGGTTCGACTAAGTTCTTTATTCCAGATATGTAACCAAGCAATTTTCTTTCAATTTTAAATGTTTAATATAAACAGAAAGAACAGATAGATGTAACCTTAAATATTAATAATTTCGTAATTATATATATGACTGTATATTGAAATATTAAAGCATTTGTAATTTGTTTGAACAAAGTATTTCATGTTTATTTGCAAAGTATCAAGTACTTTCGATATTATATTTAATTTTGAAAACCACGATTTTCTGACCTAACCTTCTGGCTATAATAAATGTCAGATAGAACAATATATAACTCAAACAATAAATGAAAAATCGGCAAAATGAGCAAGGTTTATACCTTGCTCATGAATTAACAATAATTTTTAATCTCATATATAATACAATCCATTTTATACTTAAAAAATATCAAAAACTAGCTAACTACTAATAGGTCTTTAGTTTTTAATGCTTCTTAAGGAATTTCTAAATAATCATCACCTAAAGAATGAATGCAATAGATTATAGCGACAAAAACGTGTAATGTGAAAAAACTTTGTAGCTGAGGCTGTGATGTGTGCACTCATTAAAGAATTACAATTCTAATTGATATAAACAAATAAAAAAACATGAAATAAAATTTTTTGTAAATACACATATGTATGTATAGAAAAGAGCTGATTCGCGCATGACAATATGTAGACGTTAAAAAATTTAAAGAGAAATTACAATTTTTCCATTTGCGTTTTTCTACTGGAAATATTTATTTAAATTAGTCGTTTACTGCGTAACTCGTATCTACATATACTGTATATAGATCGAATTGAAAGTATTAAAAAGGAAATAGGAAGTAGTTTAAAGAGCGAGTAGTTTAATTATATTAGTACTAAATCGAAGCGAATCTTTCGAAGATTCGCTCTAATTAATTAGTAATGCTATTTATCATGATTAAACTGTTAAACTGAATAAATAAAATTAATGTATTTTTAATATAAACTAAAAAGTTTGACTTCTATATTTAATTATTTCAAAAGGGGCTTCCATTTCGGTTTGGTATAATTTAGCTGGAACTATTCGAATTACATTACTGATTTTATATATATATAATTTACTCAATATCGGAAAGGCGAATAAGGCATCCTCCGAATAGCTGCTCGCTTTTTACAACAACCTTACCAACTGTTATCATTCCATATGTATGTAAATGGATAAATATTTCTATATTCGCGAAATTTATGAATAAACAAGAAGAAATCGGTTGAACCGAAGCTACAATACCCTTCCCCAATACAAATGATTCCTTATAAGAATGGTCGATATCGGAGTAGACAGAGTAAAGAACGTAGAATCTAAGAACGTAAAGTATAGAGAAGCAGGGTGCGTTCGAGCCACGTAATAAACTCAGCAGTACAGCAAATGTGTTGTATATTTGATTTGCTAATACTTTGCTGAAATTTAGTGTTGCCGATTATTTGCATAAGTTGCGTGCAAAAAGTAGAACGTGATGATGTTGTAAGTGTGATACTTTGACAAATTTGCAACACTGTAGTGATTGACATCTCGAATGCACCCACAGAAAACGTAGAATAAGAGAACTTACAACAATGAGAAGGTGCAGGTTCGACACCGAACATTGGTAAAATTTCCACTGGTGAATTCACCCCGTAAAATATCAACATCGTTTTGAAGTGAATATGTAGAATTACGGTTTTGTTAACATGAACATGATCAACCAGGGAGTTTTGATGAGGGAACCGGAGAATGAATGAATGCTATGCGCATTTTTATACTCTTGCAACATGTTGCTACAGAGTATAATAGTTTTGTTCACCTCACGGTTGTTTGTATCACCTAAAACTAATCGAGTTAGATATAGGGTTATATATATATAAATGATCAGGATGAAGAGACGAGTTGAAATCCGGGTGACTGTCTGTCCGTCCGTCCGTCCGTCTGTCCGCCCGTGCAAGCTCTAACTTGAGTAAAAATTGAGATATCTTTATGAAACTTGGTAGACATGTTTCTTGGTACCGTGAGACGGTTGGTATTGCAGATGGGCGTAATCGGACCACTGCCACGCCCACAAAACGCCATTAATCAAAAACAAATAACTTGCCATAACTAAGCTCCGCAATAAGATACAAGACTGTTATTTGGTACACAGGATCACATTAGAAAGAGGCATCTGCAGTTAAAACTTTTTTTAAAAAAAAATAGTTGAAATCGGGTGGCAACTCCGCCCACTCCCCATGTAACGGTACTGTTAAAAACTACTAAAAGCGCGATAAATCAAGCACTAAACACGCCAGAGACATTAAATTTTAGCTCAGGGATGGTATGAGAAGACTATAGGAACCGCGTTCAAAATTAGACAGTGGGCGTGACACCGCCCACTTTTAGGTGAAAACCCATATCTTGCGATCTTTTTAACCGATTTCAACCAAATTTGGTACATAACATTTTATATTTCTATGTTATGGTGCGAAAATGGGCGAAATCGGATTACAACCACGCCTATTTTCCATATGACACCATTTTAAATTCCACTTGATTCTTTCACTTTCCACTATGCAAATCAAGCAACAATGATTATATCACCGTAAAACTTTGCGTGAATAATGCGTTTAAAGTATGCCACCTTGTGACCAAAAATTCTCTAAATCGAACCAAAACTGTTCAAGCCCCTAGGTACTGAATATGTGGACCCCAGTACCTATAGTTGACTTTTTACCGTAAATATCGGCCATTGTGTAAGATATGTATATAATTGAAATTCATATAATAGAATAAATAAAAAAAACTATCGATAATAGTATGTCTTTGTTTCAAAAATGGGTTGAATCGGATCAATAGTTCTTGTAGCTCTCATATATCTAATATAAATATTTTTGAACTTCCGCGTGACTTTATACCGCATATGTGAGTTATCTCAATGAAAATGAGAGAGCGTGTTTTACTCATAACAAGATCAAATTGGGTGAAAATTTTCCTTAGCCCCCATGTAACTAATATCAGGATTTTCGAACATTCGTCTGACTTTACTCCATTTGATTGGTGATGGTATGTGAGGTACCTTAATGACAGTGGGATCATTTATTAGTCTGTGGCATGTTAGTAGTATGTGGTATTGGAAAAATTAATAAAATCGGGTTAATACTGCCCTCAAATTCCATATACTACTTATAATGCTTTCGTTATTCTAACCAGTTTTATGCCGAATATGTCGGTCAGTGAGTATTAATATTTTTATATAAAATTGCTTCAGAATATGTCTCGAGTATAGCTGAGCAATGTCAAATTAATATATTTCTCTATCCCCAATATATATATGATTTCCGTCTTTCCACCTGACTTCACACCGTTCCGGTAGATCAACGTGATATTTTAACGAAATTAAGTGGAAAAGATTTTTAAAAATTATGTGGTTTGACGCTGAATTAGAATGAAATTAGTATATACTAAGTCTAAACCTACACCTTCATATAATGAATTCCGATTCTTTGGTTGACGTTTGCCACCTGCTTATAATATAAAATTTAGCCACTTTGGTGGAGTTAATATCACATTCATACTTATATCTCACTTTAAGCAAAACTGAGACTAAGTTTATGGCCTTTAATATAAGTCAAGAAGATACCAAATTTGATTGTAATTTAATCACGATATCATTAAATAATGGATGTTTCTGGTCTTTGATTTTCCCACTCACATGTACTACTTATGCTATAATTTTTCGTCAATTTAATAATTTAATGAAATTAAATGGACAGTTTTCTTAAAAATAATGTATATCGCTGCATATGAATGAAATTGGTCTAGACTTTGTTTAAACCTTATAACCTAATATACTTATTTCCGCTCCTCTGGTACAACAGCAACCTCATATACCCACATATTAAATCTAACCCTTTGGTTCAGTTTATATACATGTTTGAGTTAAATAGCTTTTTATAAAAGTTAACATTTGGAGAAAAATAGTATTGACACAAATAATAATAATAGAGTATGAATGTTGAATTCTTTGCAACATTTTATACTTTCGCAACATGTTGCAACAGAGTATAGTTTGTTCACCAAAGAGTTGTTTGCATCAGCTAAATTGATAGATATAGATTTCTATATACATATATTCTTCTAATATTTGGTGATAATCAGTGGTTAGGTATAATTCTCAGCCATCATGTTGAACTTATTATAAATATACCAGTCAACAATGCAAAAAGTTTCTTAGAGTGCTGGACTTTGTATAGAGCAAAAATCTTTCTAGAAAAATTGCATGAAATAAATATTAGTAATGTAGTATCAAAAGGGCTAAAGACCCTTTTATGTGGTATAGATAAACTGCGACCATCGGTTTACATGCTACTGTCTATTATTTCAGTTTTGCGACACATTTAATATGAAGGGGTATAGGTGAACTGTAAACTCAGAAAATTACATTTTACCTAGCGCCGTTGGCAGCTTATGAAAGGTTTAGATATTAAAAAAAGAAGAAAATCTACATACTTGCTCTACATATGTGTATACCATACTTAATTATATGTAGTTATTGTTAATTTAGCCTTCAGGGTAGACCCTTCAAAATAGGTACCATAGATCCCCTGTTTTAGAAAGCGTTTAACAAAAGTAATTTACGGAGAGTTTTCGAGAACTTAATTTCAATACAATGAAATAAAGTACTAATTTCTAAAATATAAATATAACTAAATATTATGTATTATTATGTTAGTGAATAGCTAAGTAATATATAGGTATACAAAAGTACGTAAGCTGTACCAACATGTTGCAGAGTATAATAAATATCAGTATACTGTGTTTGTAGTTTCAGTTTCACTAGATGTCTTTACAAGCAAAGTGCTCTATTCAAATAATTTTAGTGTATTACAGTACAGTGTATAGTGACGAGCAATAGCATAGCAAGGACTTACAAGTAATTACAGTGAAAGAGCAGCACCTAGGATCCAACTTTTAACACCCGGACGGACTGAATTATATAAGATATTATCTAGTATTTTATATATTAATCCATATTATTATAATTATGCCTAGATTAAGTAGAAAATCTATATTACTAAGTCGTCTTCAGAATAGAAGACGTTATTCGTTTCACTCACCTTTTCACTTTAAAATAAAAACACGGCGTATGCAAAAGGTAGCACGGGCGGAATGTCTCACGTCTCTTCGGTTTGATCGCTAACGAAAAGGAGCCTTTGTCCTCTGTTAGCCCTTTGAAGGTTGAGGTGTAGAGTTGTGATGTGATGTGATGTGTCGGTGTCTGTGGGTGTGATGTCTTGCGGTGTGATGGTGTGTGTTAGTGGGTGAGTCTTCTTGTGGATCGTGTTGGTGTGGTGTGTTGGCGCTCAGTGGCGCGTATGGAGGGGAGGCGTACTCATTTGCCATCCCGGCCCCTAGGCGAATTTTATAAGCAATCGCTGGTTGCTGCAGCGTAGCAACAACATCTGAGGCCAGTGGAGCGGCGGTATGTTGGCCTGGGCTGCCGGCCGCGTTGATGCCTCCTGTCGCCTTGTCTGAGGGAGTGGAGCCGCTTGTCTTCGGGGCGATCCTGATGGCTGCTCTGCTGCGATCTACGGCTTGGGGCGAGCGCCGACGGTCCGCTTTGGTGCGGTGCAGCATGGTGTGATGCTGTCTATTGCAAAGTTGGCACAGCGTAAACGACGTACACTCCTGTGTCGTGTGGAGCGTAGCCAAACAGTTTAGGCAGTGCCCGTGCGCAGGCTAAATGGTTACGCCTCCTCCATACGCGCCACTGAGCGCCAACAACACACCAACACGATCCACAAGAAGACTCCACCTAACACACACCATCACACCACGACATCACACCCACAGACAGCAACATACACATCACATCACACAACTCTACACAACTCAACCTTCAAAAGGGGCTAACAGAGGACAAAACGGCTCCTTTTTCGTTAGCGATCAAACCGAAGAGACGTACGAGACCCGCCCATGCTACCCTTTGCATACGTGTTTTTATTT